ACCTTCCTTTAACAAAAGAGAATGTCCACGGCGGCCAATTCAACCGGCCATTGATTGGAAACCCCCCATCGAGTCCTTACGTGACTAAAGCGAGGGATTTGAACTTGGCGGCTGTTGCCAGGTCGGCCCCTTCCCCCAGCGACGCACAATCAGCACACGGGGACTTGACAGCTGTTGGCGAGGACGAGGAACCTGTGACCTGTGACTTGTTCTTCGCTCTCTCACGCACTCCTGCACTATGTCATCCTCCGAGGAAGTGGAATATAAGGCCGGACATCCTCCCGCAAGTAAGTGTGTGCTTGAGAATGGTTCTGTAGATTGCAAAGGAGGAAAATTAAGAAGGTTTTAGGTAAGGCTTTGTGACGGCGTCTCGTGATTGCAGGTCCTCAGGTGGAGCAGCTGGATCAGGCTCTTTTGTTGCGTCGTAACGTCATGTGCCTCGATCGATTTTGTTGAGATTTTGTTGAGGGATAGTTGAGTGTGTGATGGACTATGAATAATAAAATGGGGGATGCCTTAAGCTACAGGTTAACAGGTCGTCAGTGCGAAACAGGTTCCCCGGCGGAAGTGCGAGCAGTCTGGCGACGCAGCACACGGCGTCCATGAGCCTGAGACGGAGATTTATGCCCAGGGTTATGCCACAAATATATTTTTTTATCATCAATAAGCTTTAAGTAATGGCTTCAGCCGGAGGGATCTCTCTTATCGCTGAAGGGGACTGATAAGTAACGATGTAATAAGCGTTGATTCATGGCGCAATGATCGGATTAAAAAAACATATTTTTTATTGTCAAATTGAATTGCCAATGGTTTGTAAGAAATTATGAAGATCTTAGCACATGATATAACGTAATTAACATACTAAAGTCGGTCAAAAGTCTGGCAAGATGTGTACAGATTGTCAAAACCAAGAAAATAATGGTATACGAAAAGGCTTCTAGGCTCATGGTAAAGCACAAGAAATAGTTTTAATTCTATTAATTTTCTAAGAATAAAAAAATTAAGCTTACACAATATGTATAGTTAAACAGTTTGCAGAATGTAGAGTATCTTATAAATGGCTAACCACAAAGCCTTGAGGTGATTCCCATGGCACTCTTGATAAGATTAAGAATGATTCCATATTTTGAGGATGCATAGCCTGACTGCATCTTTCCACAATGCTTTTTAGTGTGCATGTGATGGAGGTTTGTTAATATTTGAATTTAACTTTGTGACCATTCTGACATTTGCCAGTGACTGAGGGTGTATTAGTAACTTAAATCCGATTTTGAGCCAATCCTCATGGAACATTACCAGTTTCAAGTGGATTTAGAGAGAACAATGGCCTTATAATTAAAAAAAAAAAAAAAAGGGCACTAGTGTGTTCAGAAAACATCAGTCATTATTCTAGAGTATTTTTTTAGAATTACATTGGATTGGGAAGACTTTTGTTAACAGGTGCTATAGTCTATAAGCTGAAGTTAAGGAACAGTAATGGAGGGAAGTTAGCGTCACTTGTGAATCATATCATTGATGAAAAACTCTGATATGAAATGAGATAAGAGTAAGATAAATATCATTGCTCATGGAAGCGTGTAATGCCCACTTTAGTTTTGTTTTGTGTAATGTGTATACATATAGATGTCTTTCTCAAGTGCTCAGCCACCAAGGAGTTAATTAGCAGGCCTTTCCCCTTTCCTTGATTTATTTATTTATTATTATTTTTATTTTTTTTTTTTTTTTGTTAATATCAATGCTGTTATTTTTATACCAGTTTGGATTTTTGGCTCCCATAGTGTATTTTATAGGAGCTGCCCAGCCTACAAACTCAAATCTGAGGTAGCAGTTCTTAGATTCAAACTAGGCTACCCTCTCATCTCCTCAAGAAGTTTTGGCATCTCCCTCAGTATCTCTTCCCTGTACCCCAAACCATCCTATCTCTACTCCCTTTCTTCCTCAGTCAAATTCCTTTTCCATTCTAAATTTAGATACCCCAATCTCTACCACTTCCCCTGTCTACCCCACCTTCTCACTCTACCTATCGCACCAGACAATCTAAACATTCCACTCCATCTTCTCCTATCACATCCTCTCCTACTGCTCATATCCATCTGCTCCTCAAACATCTATTCCCTCTTCACCACATATGAAAACCTTGTCTTGGACCTCCCCACCCAACTCCCCTCCAGAAACTCTGAAGACACCCAAAACTTCCTAAGATAACCCAAGAGAATGCTCCACTCCCTTATCCACCCTCTAAACGCTCTCTTCCTATTTGTTCTACATTCCAAGTATTTGCCAATATCCATCCTCCTCCTCCTCCTCCTCCTCCAAGTTCCCCCTACCCCTCTTCCTCCCACTCATCCAAAAAACACCTCATCCTCTTATCCTAAATGTGCATCACCATTTCCTCTTTTTTCTTCCCCATTATTCTTACCACTCACATCGAGATGCTCATATGACTCCCTTATGCCAGAACAAGGTCCTTCATTGGATCCCTCCCTTCCAGACATTCTTCCTGATACTTCACCACCTTCCCCTGTAACCTTGTCTCATTCTCTGGATTATTCTCCTACTTCTACACCAATCATTTCTTACTGTATCACCCTTTGATTGTTTCATAATGGCTTTTTTTTCAGTTTTCGTCTCCCTTCCTCAAACACATACACTCCAGTTGATCTGATTGCCCTATACCTTTAACCATCCCATTTTACAAATCCCCACCGTATTCCATTTGCTCCCCCTCTGTACCCTTTTCACTACTATTCTATCTTAGTGTTCTACAACCTTAGAAATTTTATCCTGATCGTTAACTCATTTTCACCCTTTCTGCCACAGTACTTTACCATAGTGCTATATGACCTTTGATGTCTTGCACATTTATTTCTTCCATCCATTATCTATCAGGAAGGGGAGATATTAGCTTTACTAATTACCCATTTTTATTAAGATTACAATTGTTTGAAAAAGATCAATGAGTACCTTATTTAACCATATTGCTGTCCAATTATTGCTTCTAGTAAGCAGGGTTACAAACCAAATGGGGCACAGTGGGTAGAGCCTTCTCTAATATTTTAAGTTGACAGAATCTGTAGTGTTTTACTACTTTGTATTATGCACATGTTCATATAATTTTATATTCCATGCGACGATAATTATTGAAAATCTCATTGGTAACATAATTAAAAATAACATTATTATTAATATGATATTTTCCTTTCAGTGAAAGTTGCTGGTGTCCGCCATCCCCCAAGACGGAAGAGTGCAGAGGAGAGGCCTCGCAGGGACAGTGATAAGGATGTGGAGCAGATTGTAGCAAGGAGGTCAGTTCTCTATTTACATTGCTATAAATTCAGAATGTTTTTTACAGGTAAAAATTAATTATGAAACAAAATGTAAGAGATGTTTTCTGACATTGCTAATCTATTTAGTATATAATAACTTGTTGCATCTGGACTGCCTTAACCAACAAGTTGGCCAAATTACAAGCACACTACTGGCTGTTCAGCAATTGTCATTTGCTGTACATCAGTATTCCCAATGTCTTTATTCGCAAAGTTTGATGATGAGTTTTCAACAAACTCTAGAGGGTGATATCTGTCTAATGATACACAATTTTCCATAAAATCACACACAGCACCACAACCAGAAATGTGTATTAACACCTGGGTATAACAAGTTCAAAGATTTCAGTTGTGTGTGTGTCATAATAGGGCATTTGTAAAAAAGCGAAAACAAAAACTACATACTAATGTTTTGCTATTTTTTATTCTAGCCCCCTGAAGCCTCCGACTACAGTTGCACCTGTGTTAGGGAACTTGGAAAAAGACTACCCAATAGCAGCTGTGAAACACACACATGAAAAACCTGTGCCAACACACACTCCCCGTAATACTGCAAATGTTGCCCCAATTATCCAGCAGCCAAGGAAGTAGAAAGTAGTTTTATGATGGAGCTATGTGCATCCAAGCCATCCTAGATTATTCTCCTCATTTCAGGTGGTCTGAGTGCTGTAAACCTGTATTCAGGGCTCAAATGATAAACTACAGGGATTTTTTTTTTCTTTTTCTTTTTTTATTCATGATATTGGGTATAGAACAGTCTTGGGTAAATAGGTGATACAATAGTTTTGATTTTAATTTATATCTCCAAGTGTAAGAGAAAATTCTCTCATTCGCTCAAATAATCAGGATAATGTGATATATTAGTATCAGATAGAGCTTAGAAATGGAGATTTTTCTGTGTGACTGAAAATTGTTAGGTGCTGTAAGAAATATGGGTTATCATAATAGAAAGTGATGTACTTATAAATGTGGTGGTATAATGTGACTACAAGTACAAACAGTTGTGGGTTTGTGATATATAGAACTTTTACATAAAGAAAAAATTCATGGGATAATGAAACTTTTCCACTTCTAGTTCTCACTATCATTATTTGTTTTTTCCTTCTCTTTCCCAAGAGAAGGAAAAAATGTCTTGATTTTCATATTACATCTTTATTTAATCATCATCAGCAGGAGGAACAACTTACTCAAACAAGAAAGCAAGCCTGCCCCCTTTTATCCAACAAGCACAAATAATAGAACTTGGTGTGTGTGGATAGATTAAGAAGTGATTTAAAACTGATTGGGTTGTATGTAACTCAGGCAAGCTCTTAAGGAAGACTTATGTTGATCCTTTTAAATGCTGGCTTTATAGAGCATCTTTCTATTTTCTTTCCTTTTCTCTGTTCATTATATTGGATATAAATTTTCATCTGATATCATTGATTATACAACATTTCAGTACAATAGGTGAGAGGTACATGTTAAAATTTTTACGTAATTTCAGGTTCGAAAACTGTTATAAATTATCCAAAGTTTAGCATATTGCTGTGATATTAATAGTACCCAATATCTTGTTTTTTTTTGTGATGTTAAATGCCAGTCTGACTTGAAGGAGATAGCAACATCAGTAAATATTTTTTTTAAAGAAGTGACCAAGCACTAGCAAAGAACATTTTTTCTGAAACATCCCTGTATAAAGTATTTCTTTTGTTCATGTTCATCAAATTTAGGCATTTGTATTTTGTTCATTTTAAAGATATCTACAATTTCTTAACGGCAGTAAGTTTTGATCTACTTTCATAGGGTTAGGTATGGTGAGGATGTCATTATGAAGAGTTAACTGTTTTTTAAGAAACTATATCACCAGAGTACAATGAAAGGGACCAGGTTCCAAGTACTGAGAAGCTACATCTTGTGTGCTGAAAATTACTTGCTGCCCAATTCTTTGGTTGTTTGTAAACCTGAAGGAACACACTCGTGTACCTGTGTATGTGCATTTCTGCATATGCATGCAGTTTTTGTACACTCATCATACATGAAGTGCATAACTGAAAGGAACTAATGTGTGTAATAGTTATATATTTTTGAACTGTTGTTTTCAATTGTTTATTGAAATTTATTTTTGTTGAACTACTAGGGAAGAAGGAAGTGTGTGGTAATTATACATGGTGACATGTATGAGGGAGTTTGTCGTGTTAAAAAAATTATCAAAGTGTTGTAAAAAAAAAAACTAAAAAAAAAAACAACTAAAATTATAGACATCAATTATTGTAAGTATTAGTAGGAACAAAGAAAAGTAGTGTGCAATTTAACTAGTCTTGGCTTGTATATTAGCTAGTCAGCAAAAGAAATTTGGTAGAATTCCAATTGGAAAATGTATACATTCCAATAAGGGACACAATTGACACATTTCTGGGAATCATGCCTTACAGTTGGTTATAGTTTTTGGTTACAAGATAATTATATTACCCCCAAAAATATGAAGAAAAGTCCTTAACATAAAAAAATAATAAAAATAAAAAAAAAATAAAGGTTTTGGGAAATTTTATTGGCTTCAATTTTATTTCAATAGCAAATAATTGATTTATTATTAATTACACAATTTAGGTGAATGGAGAGATGAAGATTTCATTGTTATGAATGTATATGGCTCAATGTGACTGTTCCACAGGTAAATGTTCAAAGGTAAAATAT